GCAGACGAAAACTGACGGGCCGTGGGCTGGGGCTTTCGAGGGTCGGATCCTAAGGCGTAGGGATGTCGGAACCGAGCGGTTGCTGAAATATTTGCCACCCATGCGTCGAGCAGCGCCAATGAGCACAATTGCACACAGCCTTCCCACTGAGCTGGCGCCGGCAGCGGTGACGGCGGGGGCGGGGGCGGGGATGGGAGTCACCGCAGCCCATTACGGCGGCGGTGGCGGCACGTGCGCTCTACTCCGTGACCGCCCCGCTGCTGCCGCTGCCGTCGTTACCGCTGCAATAGTGGCAGCCAGCGGAGCGGGGCGGAGCCGCGCCGACCGTGACCGGGTGAAAACACGGCGGGAAAAACGAGTAACGGGACGGGACGCACTCCGGCGGCGGGCCACTGTCCGCTGCTCGTCCGCTCTGAGGGATGGCTCAATAAAACCCGCTCATCAAACTGAAGTTGTTTTCTGCTGGCTCTTTAAAGTTAAAAATCCAGCTCCATCTTACGCTATTTTGAAGCATTCATAAATAATTGAGTCTGCGCGCAGTAGATCAATGAAAGTAATCTAAGAATAGCACCGTAAACTGGACTAAGTTGGCGTCCGGTGTTTACTGGGCTGGGAGCGGCGCGCGGCGCTCGGCTAACTCGGTTCGCTCGGGTCCTGAGCTGGCCAACTTGACGGCCCCGTGGGAGCTCACTCGGAGCTCACTCGGAGCTCGTAAACGCGCGCACCGTACCGCACAACAGCCGGCCGCAGTCGACGGAACGGCGCCGGGGTTTTACAGGCTGCTAAACGCCCGTCTGACTGCACTCCGGCCATCAGGGGTGCAGCGATTTGGTCAGTGAGCACCAAAGGTTCACCGACTCACACTGGCGGCCGCGGAGCCAGGGGGGGGGGGGGGGGGTACGGGGTCATCCTTCCCTTTAAAGACATTGATATTACCGCTACAGTAGTGTTTGAAAAGAAAATAACTTTTTTATCTCCATCAACCTCGTTTCGTACGCTAGTGCCGCAATACAGTCGAGCAAGAAAGCGTGAGGCAGTAGTAAAAAAGCTTACCGGATGCAAGAAAACAGAGTCACATTCCCATATAACTCCGGCGAAGTTATGTTAAAGAAAACTCGAAGATTGGAATCAACAGTAGGTAAGCAGTGAATCCCCACACAATCTCGAAAAACTGTCTGGCAGGCTGCCATTAGCATACAATGGAGAGCTGAATTAAATAATCGAAAGTCATGCAACGATGGTTTAATCTAAAAATGAGCACACTTCATTGCAAAAGCATCCCGACCAAAAGCGAATTCGCCATTAAGTATTACCATTGCGGTGTGCATTTAATCTTATCGCACACAGATAGACGACAAACTGAGATTTAGTCCTCCCACAATTCATGAAAGCGAAGTGCTTAGGTAAATTGCTTAGGTAAATGACTGATGGTGAGATAAAACGCAACAGTAAATCCTGCCCATTCAACACGGGATGGAATGTCGGAAAGCGCATTAAACGATCTTGGAATCAGTAGGCATGCCAACGTAAGCACTAAAAACTCTGACCAGACGCTATGACAATAATGCCTATGTGGTTATAAGCAGCATGAACCTTTGCATTGGACATAGCTTGCGATCATATTCATCCAGTGACCGGTGATCAATGACCAACCCGCTCAAGAGCTCGCCCGTGTCGGCACCTATACCCCTCCGTTGCGCGCCCTCTGCCGTACCCGACCCCGTCTCTCCGCGACCCGGTGACCGAGCCCCCGTATCGACCGGTTCTCGGTCGGCCGCCCATCGTTCATCTGGCCACAGCCCGCGGGCACAGCTCTTCCACTCCGACCCGAGACGGCGGTCGGGTCAGCCACTCACCGCATTTACGACACAGTAAACCGCAACAAAGCGATACCGTCAAACGGCAATTTCACGGGCCAACGACACGGCAGGGATGGGAGACTGCTCAGCGCTCAGCTGGTTGTAGGGGGATAAACAGGGCCCGACACACGGCCAATTGACAATCATATTCAGAAGCTCCGCCGAAACTGAGACATGATACTCAGCTAGCTTTCATTTAAGGATGTTGTTAATGATGCGGGCGATATGGAATCATGAGGAAACATATGCCAAAACGCAAACCAGGAACGATACTGATGCACCAGTGCTGTCACATCGCCTCCCCTAAGACAATTATGTCATTGGCACGACCACCGCCCATGTGTAACCACCGGCAGCGGCGGGAAGCTGTCAGCGGCTGGTCTCCCCACCAGGACAGCCGTCAGCGGCTGGTCGGCCGACCGGGACAGCCGCATTCCGAGCACGCCCCCGGCGGCGCGTGCCACCGCCGCCACCGGGCCGAATTTGACACCCATCACGGCCGTGCATTCGGTATTGATCTGTGGCCGAGGTGGCCTGTCGCCTGGTCTGGCCCGGGTCGCTGGGTCAGTGGGCTCTGCGTGGCCGCTGGGTGGGTGCGGCCCGGTAATAATTCACGGGCGCCGCCGCATCGAGCCGTTTGAGCCCCATTCGCCTGTCTGCGGGGAGGGAGATTGGCCCCAGGTCGCGTGACCACCGGGAGCTTTGATTACGTGGCGTCGACAGGGTGTGGCGACGACCACAGGGAGCGGTTCAGCCGCCGCCTGCTATAGTTCGTCCGTCGCCAATAGCGCGGGTACTCAGAGCTTCAGATGCCGCTTTGATAGCGTCATGCCGATGCGCCTGCCGTCAGCGTACCTCCAGCACATAACTAAGTCCTAGAGCACATCATCAGAACATAACTCCTCTTATTTACTCCAAATGGCCGCGATTTTGCTGATATACTGGTTTCGATACCGCCAGTCTTTCAAAACGTCCAGGACATAGGTATTCCAATTTCCAACTGAGGCGATTCAAGCGTTGCGATCTGCGTCCGCCAAGTATTGCGGCGCAGCATAACTTCAGGAATCTACTACTAGCGTCATCTAGCGGCAGGCGACGTAACTAGGCGTCGACTCTCGATCGTGTGGGCCGCTTCCGAGTCACCGTTTCAACAGGCTTTGGCGGCTGAGCCTTACAGCTTTATGTAGGACGTCAACTATCAAAGAACGCCGTCTCTAGTTATTTCTAGATAGAACAGCGGAGAGTGCGTTCCAATCTCATCATCAGTAATCGGATACTGCGACTGCGACGCACCGACGCGGCGAATCTTCTCAAGATGGTGTGCGGTGAGCGAAATCAGCAAAGCAGGAGCCAACTCAATCGTCCCAGCAGAGGCAAGAAGCAGATTCGGAAGGATTTCAGTGACGTACATTGTGACTTATCACAAAAGGTGAAAATAACACCTAAGATCCATTTAAATTTGTACCGGCGAAGTCCATTGCAGGAGTCTAATATTGTCACAGGTCTATAGCTTTTTAGTTTTTAGGTTATTTCATTTCTCTTCACTCTTTCTGAAGACACGTCACCGGAGACTGGATATCTGAATACCACGGGTGAGGAGCAACGGCTGCTGGTAAAGGACCGGGCGCTCAAAAAGTACGAAAATACGCACCGTATGGAAATGAGAAAATTACGGAGAGGCGCCTGCCAAAAGAACTCCTCTCGTCGAGCCAGCCGAGCCTCACGCAGGCAGCATACAGGTTCACTGAATCGCTTGCCAAAGAGCTCAAATAATTAATTTATGTTTATGTGGAGGACTGCTGCACTGCACCCTGCTCTATAGAAGGAGTTGCATGATTGCAGGTCATTGTTTGAGAACATGAAGTAGTTAAGTAATTTCAGCAATTTTCCCGTCGCTGTGCTACGCATACCATATCTGCAGAAAAGTAAGAGCAAAAAGGTCGCCAAGTAACTGGATCACCTAATTAGGTGTCAGACTGGTGGTGAACACGATGGTTGGCGAAGCAAGCATCTAAATACACGAAGAGCTCCATAATGTAAAGATATCTGGCATGCGCCTAGTTATAATCTAATTATCTAACATAATTTATATAATTTCCTAAGAAATTTTCAGTTATATCTTAACTCTAGTGATTTTTCCACATCAACTAAGACTACGATGGTCCAGGTTCAAGTGCAAAACCATATGAACCATAAAATTGTCATAAATCCGAAGCGTGCAACAGACAGTCCTACCCCAAAGGACGCACACGACACACCATCTATCTTTCCATCCGAGTCTTCCGGGCGGCCCATTATTCAGTCGAGCCCGTGCCGTCGCACACAGGCGAGCCTTTGAAAGTGAGCTGGCGCCGGGCCTGTGTCGGTGCGCGTCGGCCGAGACCGGGCCACAAAGGCTGCGAAAGCCGCCGGGTGGGGGCTGTCGCGCCGGGCTGTCGTGGTGGCGGCAGCCAAACAAAACCCGACCGAGCGGCGGTCGGCGCCGGCCTCAGCCGCACCCGGTTGAACACCACGGCAGGCAGGGGTATCGGCACCCGGCCCAGCTGCACCCGGTTAGACACCACGGCAGACAGGGGTACCGGCACCCGCCGCCAGTCACTACGGAAAGGACGGGTGCCGACACCCGCCGTTAGCCGCACCCAGTCAGCACGACTAGCACGGATGCCAGACTCGTCTGCCTGCACCCGCCTCAGACCTCTGACACCTTTCCAGACAGGGGTGACGATAACCAACGCCACTCAGCATGGAAAGCAGGACTGGCCGCGCGACGGAACAGCCGCACATGTGACGGCATTCGGTACACCAGTAATGCTCACACGCACACAGACCCCGACAGAACACAGACGTCTACGACAAACACCAACCAGATAACTTCACTGAGAGGCAACCGAATAACGAACCGATTAAAGCAAAAACAAATACAACTTAACGACAGAAAAAAAAACAGCGGATAGGCGGGAAGCGGCCAAATGCTAGCCAAGCGGGAATTCAGGCAGCATGACTGCAAGGGGGACAGGCGGACGAACAGCCATGAGAAGCGGGCGGGCGGACGGACGGACGGCCACCAGCAGCGGGCGGACGGACGGACGGCCATGCGGACAGACAGCGGACGACCAACCGGCGGAGAGCCGCGCCACTTACACTGGGAGGCGAAGAGCAGCTCGCCATCGCTGAGGCTGTGGCTGAGCATGGCTGACGGCGGCCGGCTCCACTCGGTCTCGGCGAACCCGCCGCACGGCGGGCTTTCCGAGAGGGCGGCCAGGGTGGCGCGCCCGCCGGCCTGCGGCGAACACGGCGCACGGCGCGCCACTGGCGTCACACACAGAGGAAGCCGTACGGCCGCCACTGGCGCCGGCCCGGCGACGGTAATGGTATTGGGAGGCGGCGGAACGGCGGTCTGCGGCGGCCCGCTCCCCGCCCCGCCCGATCGGGAGGGTGGGGAGCGGTCCCCACAGACCCACAGACACCTGACAGGCCACGGACGCGGTCTGGTCACCTGGGGAGACGCTCTGACACGCCTGACACAGACCTGACACCGGGGAATCTGTTAGAGAGATGAGACTAAGTTAGAGCATGCACTGCGCGGAAAATCACATGACAAAGGACGAGGATAACAGAGGGAACGCATGTCAGGAACATGTGATCCCATGGGTCTAGACAAAGTTACGACAGTTATCTTTTAGCGGTGATGAAATATATGCCAATCAGCCTTGTCGAGAGTCGGATGAGTTATTGAGCAAACGCCACCACAGCTACCATCACCAGTCACCACTGACAGTCGAAGCACAACAGCACACCCATCACACTTCACTTCTCACCACCAACAAACCATCACCAACCACCGCAATCACCAGCACCACCATCACCACCACACGGCACCGATGGTCTCCACAAACACCCACCCTCTGTACTCGTCTGGGGGCCGGGGGTACCTTCGGGACCGCCCACGGGCTGCGGCTCGCCATCCCCGCGCACGGGGTCGACCGACACTGGCTGGCAGTCCCCCGCGGCTCGGAGGACCGGCCGGTGAGACTCGCCGTGACAGTTGGCGCGGCCGAGCGGCAGAGCTGGCGCGCCGCCCGCGCCGATTAACCCGCCTGACACGACGTCTGGGGACTGCCCGGACACGGTGGGTCCCTCGGCAACAGACGGGGTGGGGCGGGACTAGGTGATCGGAGGGAGGACGCGGTGAAAGGGAGATGACCCGGTGACCTGCAACGTGCCCCTGTGACCGCAATGACCTCATGACCTGATACCAGTGACCGGTGACCGAAGGGTGACTCTGTAATCAGCAGTGACCCGACGACCAACAGTGTAAGCCGTCTCTTCATCTCAAACCAATGAGACGTTGGTCACCTAAGCGACTACCGACCTATAAAGACGTCAAAATAATTAATGGGTCGTCAGTTGGTAAATGCTTCGGTTCAAGAGTCCGAATCGGAATTCATCGAGGAACAAGATGCCTTTGAATACAATACTGCAAATTTTTGCCGCACCAGAGTATAGGCCTGGCTACACTATGCGTTTTCTGCGTGCGTTTTTGCAGGTTTGCGTGTTTTGCGTAATATCGTTCTAGGAAAAAAGTTATAAACAACAGATAAACAATATAATTTTTACTTTGGTTATATACAAAAGCTAATACAACTGTTATGTAACTAAAATTTAAGGTGAAAAACATAACAAAAACGTAATATCGTTCTTTTTTCTAGAACGATATCACGCAAAACACGTAAACACGCAAAAAACGCACGAAGAAAACGCATAGTGTAGCCAGGCCTTATCACACAGTTCGGCAAGGATTGGTGAAATAACAAGGGCACTGAACGAGGAAAGGGCCTAGGAATGAAAGAATTTACAATCGTTATTTTAAAAAGGCCATTTGAGTTATATCTGTTCAACTAACTGGTTTGTGACATGGATAAAAGAGAGACGGCGTGTCCTTCAGGCGACAACATATCCCGTACCCCGTGCTATTAACTTTTCGGCCGCTCATTACTATATCTAATATTGGTGGAAAAGAGCAATAAGCAGTAACACAGTACCCAGCCCGAGTCCGGCGAGCACATAGCCGGTCTTATTGCTCCCTCCGGCGGCGCGCGCCCCATATGGCCGGTGCTAGGGACCCGCCTAGTTCCGTTCCGTAACTCCATACATCCTACTACCGGACTCGTGGTAAAATAGCAGCGGTAGCGGTGCTGAACTATGCTTCTGGCCAAGGCTGTTCCGTCGGCGTTGGGTAGAAAAAAAAACAGAGGGACTGTACTACTGCCGAGCTAAATATCCGAGCCACCGCGCCACCCCGGTCAGGAGCGCGCTACGTAGGTTCAACGAGATCCCAGGAGCTCGGGATAGAGCAGACGTCAGAAGCTTCCGGTAACGACCATAGAGAACCAGGGAAGCGATTGGATGACACTGCGAGCCAGCTGAAACCAACCAATTTCAGAGAATACTGTATTGCCATTCCTGTTCGAGGCATTACTATAAAAATCATACCGTTAGCAATCATTGGGAGACCAGTGTTGATATCTTTGAATCAGCAAGAAGTATGTGGAACCAGTAATGATCTGCCTAAGCATACGCGAAAGAAGCGAATGCGTGCAGTAAACGTAGATTTAATGAGGTTTATAATAGCTTTGTTCACACAGGACCAGCCCCAGACTTCGACCGCTGATGAGCCACCGTCTGCCCAGGATAACCCGTCGTCTTCCAGGGGAAATGCCAGCACAGCGTTTCTCCGTTTCCCCCGGCGCCGAGCTCACGGGCCAACTATTTGTCGCTGAACACTCATAATGGCCTCGGACAGCCGCTTCATCTTACCAGCCGCGCCAATAACTTCTCCTGCATTCGGATGCGAACCTAATTTCCAAAGTCCATTTCAGTTTGGCGAGCCCGACATCATTGCCGGTCGACCCTGGTCGCGGCAAATTTAGCGGGGATTTCCAGTTTCCTAAGCGAGTGTTGCCGCTGTGCGCCGGCGGTGGTTATGGTCGGGCTCAAACCGGGCATTTCATCAAAATTGCACCGCCGATGGATCGGGAATATGACACGGAATCATAGCGGGAACGATCCCCGGCGCGCCGCCACCGGGCCGGGCCAGCGCTGAATGCCAATAAGAGTTCGCGGAATGCATTACAGGGCATGGCGACTGGAAACTGGATAAAGGGCAACGGCAGTGTCAGGGTAAACATGACGCCCGAAACAGGCCATAGCGCCGCAGTTGGTGACCTCCAGCCATTAGCAACAGCAAAACACTCGGTGGAGGACGGGATTTTAACCTAAAAAGGAAAGGTACAGCATTTAACGCTGTTTCAAGCATCGTGTTCATCCTCGACTCGAAATTGTGCAGTAAATTGGATAAACAAAGACAACCAGAAATCAGCCTGCTACTGAGAGAACACCCATCTTTTTGCGGGAAGTCGGGCTGGCCGATCGGTGACTGGAGAGGGTAGGATCATCAGGTTACCGGACAAACACCACCGGACAAACACCCGCCACCGTTCGCCAAACACAATGTAACGTCATCCGATCACACAACACCCGTCCGCACCGTGACGATATCACACAGTCCCAGCCCAGACGAGCTGGGAGCCTAGATAGCGTCCTTCACACAATCACAGAGCCACAAACCACAGTGTATCAACCCCGACACTCACTACACGGCTACGCAGGCTCACGACAGCACACAGCCAGCTCCTCCGGCCCCCCGGCCAGCTTCCCGGCCCTTTGTAATTCGTCACAAAGCTGCGTAACCGTACCACACCACACAGCCAGCTCCCAGGCCTCGTCATTCGTCCGCCAGTTCCCGAACAAAACCCGAAAACGCTGCAGAACCAACATCCACAAAATCCGCCCGAGAGTATCGCAAAAGTCTTCCGACCATCCAAGAGATTTCACAATCGACCATCCTCGGGAGTCCCTCTATTTTCAAAGTTACCGCAGACTCTAACAACACTCTTCAGCGCTCTCAGGGGGCCCGGCGAAGGCGCTTACCGCAACCTCTCCAGAATCCTCAACGAATCATCACAAAGGTAGGCCACTCGGGGCTCCCCAGACACCCTCCCCGGCGGCCCCGTCTCCCCCTCCCCCGCCCGCCGGTGGAGACGGACGGGCGTCACTCACAGCGTGGCCGGACCGAGGCGTCCCGCGCGCGTGCCACCTGCCGCACCTGCAGCCGCCGCCGGCCGGCTGGTGCCGGCTGCTGGTGCTGGTGCTGGTGGTCGACACAGCAGCACCACTGCAGGACTCTGGCCGCCGTGCTGACACCGGACTGCCGCCGCCCAGCGGCCGACGCACTCACTGACGCACAGCGCGCGCACAGACGGTAAACACGACCGATATAAACTCGCTGCAGGGAAGGGACCAAATTTATACTGTATAAACTTTAGTAGAATCAGTCAGAAAACATAACAGACTAGACAGTGAAGCTTTACTTCGATTTAATTTTTGAAACATAAACAATAGAACCTACAAGTCTGACAAAATTGACTACACAAGGAACCAAGCGTCGCTCGGTGATGGCGCTATGGTAAATAACGCCACTGTGGCTAAAAAAGCGAGTTTATATCGTCGTTTCACCTGTTAACCGGCGGGCACCCGGTAGCACTCTCGATGCGGCACGAACACTTCACCACAGTGCGACAATGTCACGGCGCGGACGGATGCTGATCGGGGTCGCCACCGGATAGGCTGTAGGCTGGGGACGAGGTCACAGGTTGGTCGCCCTATGGACTCACGAACTCGGACGAAGACTTGGACTAAGGACAAAGGCCAGAAGTTGGAACGGCCAAGCGGGCAGAAGGAAACACGGAGATCCTCTCGGGGAGATCGGCGTTGCAGTGGGGATGCAGTCGTAGTGGAAACTTAGGAGCAGGGGAAGTAAACGCAGGACCAGAGAAGGCGCTACAACAGGGACGGGACCTAACGGACCAGCGCAGGGCGGCACTAGCACAGGGCGGACAGACGGCCGACAGGCTGGGTCAGCGGGAGCAGCCGGAGGGGCGCGGGCCGGTCGGCGGACGGCGGACGTCTGAGCGCGCGCCGCCGCCGCTCCGGTCCGGTCGGCTCGGAGGCTGGCGGCGGGCGCGCGCGCCATCGATCTGCCGCGCCGCCGAAGACGCCCATCTGACGCCTGATCCGGCGACGGCCCCCAAACGGCCTGCGATCGAATCAGTTCATACGGGGCCACCGCGCGCCCCCGGGACCGCCGCTCAGTGTCCGGCCAGCCGAAAAACGAACCACCCGAGGGCAGACCAGAGACCCCCGGCGGGCGCACAGACGTCTTCGATGGACTCCCCTCGGGGCGCAGTTCTCTCGGGGCACAGCCGACATTCAAACACGGCGTAATGACTATTTGAACAGGGCTCATTCCCGAAACTTTAACTTGACATCTGGCAGAACCTATGAAAGGCTTAAATGAAAAGACTGCAAACATCAAAGTTTAAGAAACAAACTTCAAGAAAAGTATTCTCAGCACACTCCAGAAAGCTTATTGCCTTGACCGGCTGAGTACCAAGCAAGACAACTCCAGAAAATTCACGGGATTAGCCCGCGCCCTGCTGGGGGGGGGATGTGTTTGAACACCCCCCCCCCCCTTGTGGTTTTTTGCGAATATCTCAAAAACGGCGGCGCGGAGCGCCGCCGTTTTTGGTACACCTTATCATACATCAATTCTACACATGTTGTGAAAATTTCAGACCAAGGTCATTCAAGGTCAGGTCACCAGGTCACTTGAAGTGACCTCACCTCATAAAAAGTTCCAATGTCTGTCATAGCTACACCGAGTGACCGATCGCTTTGAAACTTTCAGCGATTGCTAAGAGCAATAGGATGTACAAAATGTATATCTCAGAATTTTGATGTCGATGACCTAAGGTCAGGTCAATTTTGCGACCTCCCCATTATAAGTCAATGGGAGAAAATTGAAATGCGCCTCTTTTGGACGAAAGACATTATAAACACTCCCAAACACCGAATTACAAGTGGTTTAGACACACTGAATATGAAAATGGTGTCCGTGATCCTTGTTTATGCCCTGAGGTCATCTTAGGTCACGAATGGTATCTAACAGTTTTTCGCAAATAACTTTTGATAGAGGCATGCTAGAGCGATGAAAACGCCTTAGATGTGTTCAGCTCGACGATACGGATCGACTGATATGCAACATGACCCTTTCCGGTCAGGTCATGACCTTGACCTTGACGCCGTTTTTGGTACACCTTATCATACATCAATTCTACACATGTTGTGAAAATTTCAGACCAAGGTCATTCAAGGTCAGGTCACCAGGTCACTTGAAGTGACCTCACCTCATAAAAAGTTCCGATGTCTGTCATAGCTACACCGAGTGACCGATCGCTTTGAAACTTTCAGCGATTGCTAAGAGCAATAGGATGTACAAAATGTATATCTCAGAATTTTGATGTCGATGACCTAAGGTCAGGTCAATTTTGCGACCTCCCCATTATAAGTCAATGGGAGAAAATTGAAATGCGCCTCTTTTGGACGAAAGACATTATAAACACTCCCAAACACCGAATTACAAGTGGTTTAGACACACTGAATATGAAAATGGTGTCCGTGATCCTTGTTTATGCCCTGAGGTCATCTTAGGTCACGAATGGTATCTAACAGTTTTTCGCAAATAACTTTTGATAGAGGCATGCTAGAGCGATGAAAACGCCTTAGATGTGTTCAGCTCGACGATACGGATCGACTGATATGCAACATGACCCTTTCCGGTCAGGTCATGACCTTGACCTGAGGTCAAATTTTCAAGTTGACCTTTCAAGGTCAAGTTATAGTTCATTCGATGCGTCTTGACGAGAGGAACACGATGCCGGTAAAAGTAAGCTCGTACTAGGCTTGGGTCAAAAGTTATTGCAGAAAAACTGTTTCCGAAAAAATCGGCTATTTTTGCAGTTTTTGCCCCCTGCAGGCAAAACCGTTGACGTTAGGTCAAATCTGAGAGAATTACTCAGAAAGGGCGTTAATAGGGCTATCGAATGCGCTTTTCCGCGGCGCTGTAGCTCTATTGGTTCCCGAGTTATGCGTTGGCTTCTTGGACATTTTTGACATTCGACCTGGAAATCGGCGAAATTTTGCATTCAATGACCTCTGGTGACCTGACCTTTGACCTGACCAAAAAATTGACCGAAGTGATTTCGTCATTATTTTTGACGCTCTTTCGAACGCCGCCTTCCGCGTATCGCTACGTGGCCCAGGAGCCGAGTTACAAGGGCCCCCCCCCCAGCAGGGCGTGGAAATCCAGGACCCCCAGCCGGGCGCGGGTTAGCAATAGCCGCCTTCTCAGGAGCTGGCACATTCGGGAGCTCTCTCGGAACATTCATCCAATTCCAGCTACACCGTGTGGGATCTCTCGCGTCGTTGACAAGGCACCGGGGCCAGCGCCGGTGCGGGTGAATCCCTCGACCCAGTAGGTCCTGACGTTGTCTTCCGGTCACCCTATTACAGTCCTAACGCCAGAACCGTCAGAGGGTCTCCGTCAGAGCGACCGTCGCTATCCTGCCGGTCCGTCGCTTTGCTACGGACTGTGTACACTGTAGATATTGAGGTGCAGATCGTCGCTACTGCTAAGGACTAGTACTGACGGACTGTCGCTCTGATGCCTACGGAAAGTCGCTGTACATACTGTCGATTGTCGCTCTACTGTCGACAGTCGCTCTACTGCCGACGGACTGTCGCTTTATGTACTGTCGACTGCCGCTCTACCGTCGACTGTCGGTCTGATGCCGACGGACTGTCGGTCTGATGCCGACGGACGGCGCCCGCTGCGTCACTGTCCGTTTTTATCCGACGTCGACCGCTCCTGACGCGCTCACTCTGCCCGGCGAGGCGCGCCGGACAAAAACCCACGCCTTTGTCCACGCTCCGGACGGTGGTTTGCAATCGTCGGAACGCTATAAAGCCGCAGCCTCAGACACCCTGAGCCTCTACACGTGCTATTCTCAGCAGCACGCCACCTGTCAGACTGAGAAACAAACCTGATGCGGCTCGAATCTTATCGGGATAATTTCCTGCTTACTGCGAAATGCGAGTAACCAGGCCATAAATGCTTAAGCACCAAGTAAAATGTTTCCTATGCACAACTTCCTAAACTATTTATGACATGCGCTCGGCGTCCAGCGCCGTGTCTTGCCGACCTAAAGAACAATAAGGATCACAAATAAGTGCACCGTCCAAGAAAAACTCGGTCATATGCAGGATTGGGCATATGCAGGATTGGGCAGAACGGCATCTGATTTTCCTTTTCTCTAATCTTTGTAAGTGGGCATGAAACCTATAATATACAATGGGATAGGTAAACAATGGGTTGTTGTATCCAATGAAATAAAACAGCATGCTGAGATACTATACCTACTACCTATGTATAAAGACGAATGATCCAGCAGTTAAGAGATTCCAATGAGTCATCTGGAAGTTGTTTATACATCTCGGATAAATGACGACGATTTATGCACATCTGCAATGTTGATTCACAACGGTAACCGACACACCGGCATGGCTACAGAGTATGTACAAGCATTGGTATAATTTACCGCAGAGTGAAAAAAACTTTTGAATTCAAAGTCACCTCAACTGAAAAGATAAAAATATGCCATAAAACGTCATACCTATTATCCAGTAGCGGCGGAACATCCTCAATTAAGAGGGGGGGGGGGGGCACTGCCGACTTTTGGTCCCATTCTTTCCATGCAACGCCCATAGGGCTTATGTTAAAATGCCAAAATCAACGGTGCCTTCCCCGTTCCGCCGCCTATGCTATTATCATAGACAATCGCATATATTACGAATTATCAGTATCGTGGAGGGCTGGACTCAACCTGCATCGCTGACCGCAATATGGCTTTAAGTACCTCGTTAGCTTTTGCACTTAATAACTATGTAGTTGCACTTCCATCCAACAAAACGAAGCAATATCTTGTGCAAGCAATATCAATTCACAATTTGCAAAGAAATTGTGCATTCGGTTTTCAGGAGCTTAGACTTTTCGGGCATATACGAGAACTGATAGGAGCACATGCTAATTGCTAAGCACTCAGCAAGGTGAAATTCAGCATATCGCCGGATGAAAATGACATCAAAAGCCGTATTACAAGAGTACGGTTGACTTCAAACGGATAGCGTTAATCCCAAGTCATTAGGATATTAAAGTATGAATAATTTCGGACCAGACAGGGTAATCTGCTTCATGCAATCCAAAGTATGGCGCATTTAAAAAAGGGATATCGACATTTCCCACACCTGACACACTTCACGTAGAAAAAGAACGC